CGTACATGCAGTGGACACCTGGCTAACAAGGTTACCTGCGTCTGGTAAACATCTTGTACATGCAGTGGACACCTGGTTGTTTTTGCAGTGTGGTTACAGCACCATACATGTTAATGTGATAGTTTTAGAGTACAACAGTAAACGGTGGACGTAATGCATCAAGAGCAAAGGGAATCTTTAGGTCTGGGGGGAACCCTTAGTTGGATTTAATGAAGTACACAGTACACAAACAAAATATCCTGAATATTGTGTTTTTCAGGTTATTTTATTTGTGTACCAGATAGTATTTATATCTGTTTACTTTGCTTGCACTGTGTACTGTCTTTGCACCTTGTCTGCTTGGCACCATATGTGTGTTTGCCTGTGCACTATGTTCTTGCTGCTGTTTGCACCAGAATATCCCCCTGGGATCAATAAAGTGCATCTTAATCTTAATCTTAAAGTGGCGTGACTGTTATCTCATTCAGCTGCATTTTCTTTTGTTACTCTGTATTTTGATCTTAATAGATGTCTTACTATTGACTATGGTTGAGTCAATACTTCCACTATGTTTTAAAATGAATTGCTTCTACTGGAATGGTCATTCACAAGACTTGCTATGGATTTCTCCCTGACGTTTAATAACATCATTAACGCCAGTGATCCAGTGGGTTGGCTGTACCTTCAGTGCAAGTTTCCAAGGTAGTGTGGACACGACGTCTTTCCTGTCCATGTGGGGGACCCCGCAGCTGCGGTCTCTCTTCTCGCAGAGTCCTGTGTCCAGCTTTTACCCATCCATGGACAGGTCAACCAAAAACATGCCCGAGAACATGCAAGCAACTGAGATAAGAGGACTAATTACACTAATGAAATACTTGTTCGCTACACGTAATCTTGATGGAATGATTGAATTACTATGCAGGTGGTATTCAGGAATAGTGTCTACATTACTGTGTGTTGCCACAGATTAATTGGCAATATAAAAGCTAATTAAAATCATGTTTTCCAGTTAATCTAAAATTAATTAAAGCACCTCGAAATATTCCTTTGTCTTCCTTAATTCCTGTGCGACACGCTGCCAAGCTTGGAACACCGCTCTGCAGTGAACAGAATTCCAGACTCTTCTCAGTTTTCTGACTGCTTCTATGATATAAAACAATAATAAAATTACAAAAGGTCAATCTAACCCAGAAGCTGCAGCCATCATTTGTAAAAATCCATACGCTATCATGACAACTGGTTGTGGATCGAGAGTTTGGCAGCGTACACCTCGGGTGAGACACCACACACTCACTCACGTTTCATGCAACTCAAAAAACAAGAAGAAAAGAAAAGGTAAAGTATTGTTTCAAGGCTTCTATACCTTCAAGAGCATAACTTTATGCTTCATAGCTTGTGACCTTAAAGGGATTTCAGAAAAGCCAATCCAAAGCATATTGCACAACCAACAAAACATATTTACATAAAAATTTCATGAGTCAAAACATAATCTTAACATCTGAACATTTAAAAACAAACCAGACTCATCAGTATAAATATGACAGCAACAGAACAGGGAATTTACCACATGGTTTCACTATCTACGCATCAGAAGCAAATATTACATTTAAGAACTTCCCCAAAAATATAAAATAAAAATAACGCTATCATGTGATTCTATTCAATCGAAGCCTTTGAAGATCGACAAACACATTAAAAAAGCAGACAGCTGTGGAACATCTGGATGAGTTCCAGGGAGGTTTAACCGGCCACCCACAGGACGTCCCACTGATTACGCTCCTCTCAGATGGCGTGCGGCTGTCTGGCCACCGCTCCTATGTGTCACCCGGAGAGTGCCACCCGCGGGTAGGGGCCCACCTTGCTGCCTCCGCCGGCGGGCCTGCAGCCAGGCGGCCCATCCGCGCATCGCGGTCCGCAGGACTCTCTGAGAGTGTCGCTCCGCTGCGGCGCTCATCTTCAGTGCCCGCTCCGCTGCTGTCTCTCTCTTTGTGGAAACGTACCCCCTCCAAGCTCTACTTACAGGGGAGCATCATTTATTCATAGGGCAGGGGCACAGTGAGATAATAGCCCTCAACTCACATGCAGCAGCAGTTTCAGACACTTGACTGCATGGACTGAAACAGTTACAACTACACTTACCTGCAGCAACGAGAACCTGTGACCTTATTTAGCACTTTGTAACAGTAGCATCATGCAGTTTAAGGTGTTTTAAGAAACTAGCCATTACTGAACTCATCTTCACTGTCAGTCTCCCCGCTGCAAACCGTAAATCTTCCAAATTAAACTTTTGCCTGATGTTATACTCCACAATCCAGAATATACTTATCTTATCTCTTAGTCTTTGAAAATCATTTAAATAACGAAAGTAATGGAACATTACCATTATTTATATATCCGTGCTTAAGGAACAACAATGGAAAAGCACTTACTTGAAGTACATTTTAGTTAATCGTTTTCGGCACCACGAGTGCGCCTTCTCAAACAAGGGTGACAGGACCTGGCGCAAATGAAAATGCTGTTATGCTACTTACCTCCACTAAACACAGTCTGCTAAATGGGACCCAGGATGTGGGACGACATCAGGATTTAATACAGGGCCTGGACAATGGAAGGACTGGGTCTAGCAGCCAGCTGTCCTGTCTAAACAGTTGAAGAACACTTGCCGATGAAGTAGATTCACCATGCTGACCATTAGCTGACCATACCTGGCTTCCACAAGGAGATCCCACAGACATCTTCTGAATGGAACACACAGGAAGAGCCCTGCAACAAACAGATATTTTTCATCCTAAGAACTCGGCACAATTGTGGGCTGTGTAATTGCATTAATCCCAGTTCCCAAAGCCATTGGTCTAAACGACAATAATGACAGAAATTGCACAGTACAAATTACGATTCATGACTTAATATATTTTCACGTCAAGGAACGCTGCATTTTCAAGATGGAAGTTGTATTTTGTGTTTTTCGAGGAACTCCTGTTTCTGAAAGTAAGGCACACTCACCTAAGCAATTTAAGGCCAGAACTACTAATTTAAAATGCATCAGCAGCTCTCAGGAAGTAATAGAATTGCAATCCCATTGTGCTCTATACAAATACAAGAACCTCATTAAATAAAAGAGAAAAAAATAATCCAGTCCTGGCGTGCTCCATCTTCCAACAAAATTGCCTGTTTCTTTCAGCATTGAACACTTTTCTGGTGTACTATATTTCTGAAAATTATTCAATTTCAGAGAATGGTGGCACATTAAATTGTCTGGTGCTGATTAGAGATCAAACATTTTTTTTGTTTGTTTCTGAGGTATTATAGGGGATTTCCAGGTGAAAAAATGTATGACCACCTGCAAGATGTGGCTCCGCCTTTCAATGAAACAGAAGGCGGTCTGTGTTGCTGTCTGTAGCGTGGTCCCTACAAGACCATCTCGGGGAGACATGGTTTGGAAAAAAGGCAACACAGAGGCCGAACCTGCTCCTCCTTTGACATGCAAACAGGAGGATGCACCGTCAGGCATGAACTAGGCATAATAACGAGTCATGACACATTTATATAAAATGTCACAGCTGGCCAATACAAACCAGTCACTTTCATTCCCATGAATCCCATTTCCCCTAATCTTCATTATTTTCTCTTCAAGAAACATTACTAGGCTTTCAGGACAGGAAACACATCCGCTTAGCAACGCCTGTTAAGAAAATAAAATGAGACAAATAATAAACGATAAGTTCCAGGACGCAGAATGTCCACCTAACTAGCTAGAGCACCTATGTACTATGCACTATTGGTGACTTTAAAACACAGGCATTTGAGTTACCTCATTGTTTTGTTCTTAACATGCACTGGCTAAGCGCCAGTAGCTTATACGGTTGAATGTCACCATCTTCAGACCCAGATAAAATCTTATCCACACCCTTACCTGATAGACCTCGGCAAGCGAGTACTTGATTGCGGAGCCTGAGGGGACCGCTTCGCTGGTTTTTATCGACGACATCTTAAAACTCTGACTAAAATTAAACCAATTTATCATAACTATCCCCTCTGCGCTCACGCCATTGAAAATGGTTTACAGTAACTAAGTAACCGACTCAACCAGGAAACCCGTCCTGACGAAATTCCACGTCGACGGCTCAGTTTGATATTTCATTTTATTGTAATATTTCTGAGTCTAAGCTCTTTAAAAACTTTGTTATTAGTCACATTACTAACAAGATGCATTTCGAATTAGAAAACACAAAGCATAATGGACGCATGAGGAAAAACGTTTTACTGGTGAAATACGTGCTACCAACCTGTAAAACCTTATTATTGTATATCCTGTTCATTTTCTTGATTTAATTATTTTTCCCCTGCAAATGCTTGGAGACGCTGTGTCTAAACTAATGAAATATTTACACAAAGTAATAAATTCAATTTCTTATCTCCTGTCCACTGATGTCAAAATAACATAAACATTGTGAAGAAGAAATTAATTGTAAATGTTAATATTGCGCTGAAAAGCATATCACCAACATATTGGGCGGCAATGTTAAAATATTAGAATGACCACTAGGGGGGGTATTTGGCAAAATTTTAATACAAGAGGTAACGTTTTGCTTCCATAAAAAGCTGCAATGTATTTAACTTTGGAGTTAACGAAAGGTTATTGGTAGCATACGCATATAACAAAAACAGACAGGAGGAAATCTCCCGGTGTTTGGTTCCTTTTCAAAGACGACATTTAAATGTACTTGAGAGTTTATACGTCTGCACGGACATAATGGAAGTCATTGTGCAAGGTTTGGCGGAACTCTCCATAATGAAAGACCTAAATGTTCCCTGTTTAGAGTGTTTACATTTTAACAATAGATGTACTTTGTTTGGTAAGAGATTTTATGAACTGTACAGGAGTAGTTATACTAAACACTCTTCTGGGGTGCATTGTGACCAAATGGTATGTTGGATAGTCATTCCTTAATGGCTCAGCATTGAAAGATAGGACATGGTAGAGCAAAGAGTCTGGACTTGAACTGCAGCGAAGGATCCTTTCAAAATTTCCCTGTATTCAGTTGCCATGTTATATACTATGGTTGCTCAGCATGCACCACTGTTGACTAACGCCTCCAGGACTGAGGATTTGATTGTCCATACCATGTCGAAACACAAGGCTGTTCTTAAGCGTTGTTGGCATTAGGGCACTCTAAGCCAAAGGTCAATGACAAACATCATCATAGCTGTCTCATCTAATTTGAGTCTGAATGGATTATGTATAAAACCTCAATCATTGCGGCAACTGCAAAGGGCTGCAGCCAGAAAGCAGTAGGTGTATGGTAACCGTAAGGGTGCTTTTCCACTGCAACAGGTATCATTTGATACTAAAAAAAAAAAAAATCGTTGCAGCATTTCCAATTTCCAATTTCAATTCCATTGATTTTCGATCCAGTACCAGCTGAGGTACTGGTTTGGTACTTTGGGACAGGACTTGCAAGCATGTTTATTGTTGATTGGTTCTGCAAAAAGCCTGCCTCGAGAAAGCTCATACATGGAAAGAACTGCCAAGGGGAGAGAGAGGCCCCAGTGTGGGAATGTGCTGACTATGTAGAAACTCCAAACCAAAATGAGGGTTGCTGGACTCCCCAGTCCACCGGGTGATTTAAGATATATAGAGGGACCTCGTATTAGAACCGCTTGTCCTTCTGATTGAGAGGAACCAGCTGAGGTGGCTTAAGCGTCTCTTAAGGATGCTGCCTGGGTGGCTCCCAAGAGCTGAAGCCCCAGGGAAGACATAGAACATGCTGGAGGGATTATGTTTTCCTGCTGACTTGGGAATGGCTAGGAATCCCCCCCCCCCCCCCCACATGACCTGCAGCCCGAGGACATGGAGAAAGAGTTCCACCAGCAAGCCGTCCCCATGCGCCTTGCCAGGAAAAGCTGGCAGGCATTACATGAGGTGTAACTGTAAGAAGGGAAGGAAGTGAAGGTTTTCCCACTGGAAACCACCAAAACATTGACAGTGACACAGCATGCACTGATACAGTGTGTTCCCGCACCCACCACACGACAAACCACCTCAGGGATGAGAACCTGAGTGTAGCCATGGGGCGGGTGATACCTCAGCACCACACTAATCTGAATGGACCAGTGTGAGGTTTTTTTCCTGGTGGCTGGAGCCGCCACTATCCTGCCACCAACCCCCAGGTTTTTCCCTGTAAGTTGGAGGACCTCCATATAAGGCTGGATGTAGATTAACATCATACCCAGAACAAAGCAATTGCAGGTTAAGGGCCTTGCTCAAGGGCCCAATGGAGTAGAATCACTGCAGGCATTCATGGGATTTGAACCAGCAACCTTCCAGTTGTGGGCACAGATCCTTAGCCTCAGACCCACCACTCCATGCCAAGGTTTATTTTTAAAACTCTTTGCATATGTCATGACAGTGAGATGTGAACGTCAAAAAACAAAACAAAACAGATAACAGCAGTTTAAGGCAGAGTTTGTATTCACTTCGGTATGCTTTAAATACACGTAATTACAGGAATGAAAATGGATATTTTACAGTAGGAGTTAGTAATAAAATCTTACATTCATTTGTAATATATGTAAGTACTCAATGCATGGTAAATTGCCAGATATGGTAAAACATTGCAAAAACTTTGTTTTTGAAAGAAAATCACATTTTTTCCATTAAAATTGATCAGAAATAGTTTAGACATTATTAATCTTGTAAATGACTATTATAAGCTTGAAACAGTTGATTTTTCAATAAAGTGTCTATATAGGTATACAAAGGCCTTTTTTTTTTTTTTTTAGCAAAAACACTTCTGCTTCCCAATGGTACGTTATGTTAGCAAATCCTAAGTAATATTGAAAGAATAATTATTCATTAGGAAACCCTTGTGCAAATAAGCACAGCTGAAAACTGTTGTGCAGTTTAAGGAAGCAACTGGCCTTCTTTGGGCAGTTTGGACAGCATTTTGTGGGTTGAGTTATGGTCTCAAAACGGCCAGAAAGAAAAAGCTTTCTTTCGAAATTCGTCAATCTGTTGTTGTTTTGAGAAACGAAGACTATTCCATATTGAGACACTGCCAAGAAACTGAAGGTATCTTACAAAGGTGTGCACTACTGAGTGAAAACTGGGTCTAAACAGGACAGAAAGAGGAGTGGGAGGCTCCAGTGCACAGCTTTGCAGAAGAATAAAACCATCACAGCCTCTAGTTCGAGAGACTGATGCGTTTCAGGCCCTGAGCTGGCAGCTTTATTAAACAGAACCCACAAAACGCCAATCTCATCTTCAACAGTGATGAGGCGACTCCAGAGTGCCGGTCTTCTTGGAAAAAGCTGAGACTGGCCAATAAAAGGAAAAGATTCAAATGGGCAAAATAGCATAGACATTGGATGATGGATGACTGGGGAAAAAAAAAAAGTGCTATGGACAGGCAAATCTAATTTTGAGGCGTCTGGATCATAGAGAAGAATACTTGTGAGTCGCAGAACAAATGAAATGAGGAAGTGCTTGATGCCATCTTTCAAGCATGGTGGTGGAGATATTGTGGTCTGGGGATGCTGTGGTGCTGGTAAATCTGGAAATTTTGTACAGGCTAAATATTATGCCATACCCTGCAGTCCCCAAACAAGCTTGATGGGCCGAATGGTCTCCTCTCATTTGTAAATTTCTTTTGTTCTTAGATGGCAGCAGATTGGAGCCAATTTCATCCTACAACAGGACAATGACCCAAAGCACTGCTTCAAGTTATGCAAGAAGCAGCCAGACGGCTCAACCCTATTGAGGAGATGTGGGAGGAGCATGACCATATGACATCAAGCCAATCCAATTTTCGGGAGGTGCTTCGGGAATCATGGAGTGAAATCTCTACAGATTACTTCAACAAATTCAAAGTAGGGATGCCAATGGTCTGCAAGGCTGTGATTGCTGCAGATGGAGGATTCTTTGATTATTTCAAGCACTAATCATTATTTCTAATTTAATATGCAATTTATGACTAAAATGGAGTTTTCATGGAAAATGCAAACTTTTTGGCATGATTCCAAAGTTATGGCTAGTGTATTAATCATAGAGTAATAAAATGTGTATCTGCCTTGTGTCTTACACTGCCAGAGCAAGGCTCCAAGTTCTCTGCAGCCCTGTACTGAATATGAATTTATGGAAGATAGATGGATTACGCAATATGCAAACTTCTTTTTAACGTATCATTGCCTGATATAACACTTAACCAGGGTTGAAAACTGAGAAGTTCAAGTTGAACTGAAGTCATTAGGTTGAACAAATTAAACATAATCAATATTTACCGTATAATCCAAAAAAAATCGTACCTGCTCTGAAAGTCTCCTCAAACTTTGTTAAAAAAAAAACAAAAAAAAAAAACATAAGTGCTGAAATTACAAAAGCATCCGCAATGAAACTAAACTTATAACACCTATCACTTGTGTTGAGCAAACACCTCTTCAGTGGAGTTCAGATGTCGTGATTCGCCATGTTTCAGGAGAAAAAATACGTCTTCACCCAGCCCATATTTCTCCACGGCTTCTTTGAGGCGCACAGGAGGGTCCAGGTAATGCTGTAAAAGAAAAGTTTTGTTTTTTAATCCACAAAACGTAATACAATTACATAATTACACAATACAATTACATAATTACAGCACTTGTTTAGGCAACAGCAGGGTGGAGTATAAAAGGGATTTCGAAATACTGCAGGGTGGATCATTCATACTGTCTAAAGCTGTCCCTTAAAAAAAAGGTCATTTTCAAGTCAGGAAGAGTATTACCTGGGTCTTGCCTTTTCAGAAATCAAGACCCTACCTTTGTCTTCTGTTGTGCAGGAAGAAAATATTCAACTTTAAGTGAAATGTAAAATTAAAATTACTTTTTACACACTCAAGGCTAATTAAGTGTAGAGCATATGTTTTATGTTGCCTTTTGCACATTTTTTGCCCATGTTTTTACATTTTTTTTGCACTTTCAGGTACTTGTATTTTCTTAAAACTTCAGTCTATTTATATTGTACCTAGTATGACTTCCAATGGCACTCATCTCCATCAATTCACACATCAAAACCTACTTGCAACCTTGGCTTTGTTCAGCAAGCCAACACCTCCTGATGATCTCTCAACCATGAGAAGACTTCCTCCAGATTTTCCCCCCCCCATGTGTCACTCCTCGACAGTGGAACAAGCTACCCATCCACATTTAGTCCTCAAGATCCCTCTAGACATTCAAGAGGTGCCTCAAGACCCATCTGTTCAAGGTACTGCCTGAAAGAGGTTCCAGGTTCTCTGAATGCATGGATCTCACTGAGCATTTTACCTCATGGGCCAAAGCAAAGGTGCCCCAGTGGATGGCAAGGGACTGCTTTGCTTGAAGGTCTATGTGGATCTGCACAGCCTCATCTGGGTCCACATGCTGTGACCTCATAAAGTCCCTGGGGTGGGGAAACACAACAGCTAAGACAACCAGTTGGCTGCTTCCCTGTCAAAACCTAAACATAGCCCACCACGTACCTGGGCAAGTATGCACCAATGGGGATTGCGGCCAGGTCAAAAGGTCCAAAGCGCCTGCCGATCTCCTGGAAGCCAGAGCAGTAGCCGGTGTCCCCGGCAAAGAAGAAGCGGTTGTGGGGCCCCAGGACAGTCCAGCTGCCCCACAGCACCCTATTGTCATCCAGCGGCGTGCGCTTGCACCAGTGCTGAGAGGGTGTGAAGACGAAGGTGACTTCGTCGTGACCCGGCACACAGTTCTCTTCCCACCAATCGAGCTCGATGACGTTCTCGCAGCCACAGCTCTGCATCCAGCTCATCAGGCCCAGGGGCACAAACCAGCGCAGGTCACTGCCAAAGCGGTGGTTCAGGGCAGTCACCGAGCCAAGATCCAGGTGGTCGTAGTGAGTGTGGCTGATGAGCACGGCGTGGACCCGTGGCAGCTGGTTCACAGTGCATGGTGGGTCCCGGAACCTCTTAGGTCCTGCGAACTGCACTGGTGACGCCCGCTGGCTGAACACCGGGTCTGTCAGTATCACTAGATCATCCATCTCCACCAGCACTGAGGCATGACCCAGCCAGGTGACCCTCAACTCGGCATTAGTCTGGCCAGCCTTCTCGGGGTTCCGGATGAAATAGGGCTCCATTATGGGCAGCTTCTGATCCAACTCCTGAATATCAAACAGAACCACATCAGTTTCTACATGTTAGCCTGGATTCCAGGCTGGGCCTCAAACATCTGACTGCAAGTCTACCTGTCCAATCAACACTGCCTAAGCAAAAACTATGAATGAAGGTCTCATGGACTCCCAGTGAAGCACGGTGTCCAGGTGGGCTCCAGAAAAACATAATCAAAGCATATTCACCAATAAGTATTCATCTATTCTTCATTTAGGCCAACCATACAGATGAATGTCTCATAGACGTATAGTGAAGCACACGGTAAACAGATGAATGTCTCATAGACGTATAGTGAAGCACACGGTAAACAGATGAATGTCTCATAGACGTATAGTGAAGCACACGGTAAACAATTTCTCCTGGTTTCAAAGGGAAAATTACTGTATATGCTGCCGAAAGCAACTCCCGTGAAACCGCCAGCACTAAGAAGATAAGACTGAACAAGATAAGACTCCTGTTCGGTGTCTATCGGACACCTAGCGCCAATGCTAACTAGGCGCTAGCAGAGCTGTACGACGCCGTAAACAACCTTCAAACAGCCCACCCAGACGGGGTTTTTATCATCTCTGGTGACTTCAACCAGGCAAACCTCAAAACAGTACTGCCTAGATTTCACCAGCACGTGAACTTTGCAACTTAGGGCGAAAACTGTTTAGACAATGTTTGACCACCATTAAAGATGCTTACCGAACCGAGCCCCGCCCACACTTCGGCAACTCCGATCACATATCAGTAAAGTTGATTCCAGCCTACAGGTCTCTGCTGAAATGCTCTCCACTGGTCCAGAGAGAGATCACAGTGTGGCCCGAGGGAGCTGTATCAGCCCTTCAAGACTGCTTCGAATGCACAGACTGGTCTGTGTTCAGAGAGGCTGCTACCTACGAGGACGGTATTCATGTGGAGGAATACGCCGCAGCTGTGACTGGCTACATTAGGAAATGTACTGAGGATGTAACTGTGTTCAGGAGGGTCATCACAAGAGCAAATCAGAAACCCTGGATGTCTACTGAGGTCCGAAAGATGCTGAAAGCCCGTGATGCTGCCTTCAGATCCGGTGACAAGGTTACCCTCAGAACCGCACGAGCCAGTCTGTCCAAAGCAATTAAAAAAGCCAAGTTTGCATATGCCCAAAATATCCGAAGCCACTTTCAAAACACCAGAGACACTCATAGTATGTGGAAGGGCATACAAGCTATTACAGACTATAAACCATCACCTTCCACCTGTGACAGCGATGCTACTCTCCCAGACACCCTGAACACCTTCTACGCATGTTTTGATGTGCTAAACTGCGAACCTGCTACACGGACTCTTTTCCCTCCTACTGTCCGGAAAACGGTATCGAAGCTTCCGCTCCGCCTCTACCAGGCTGTGCAACAGCTTCATACCACAAGCCATCAAAACTCTGAACACACACTGATATCTGGTCTGCCTCTCTTCAAATTCCTCTAAACAGCATATACAATCGACCTCTAAATTGCAACTGCACTTTACTTACGAAGTTTCTGCACTACTTATTTATTATCTCTATATTATTTATTTACTGCCTGTTTGCACCTTGCATGCCTGTTACTGTAATGTTAAGTGCACTATATGTTACTATATGTTGTACCGGGGCCATGGAGAAACGTTGTTTCATCACTCTTTGTACATGTATGAAGCTGCTGATGACAATAAAGTGACCTTGAACCTTGGATGCCACGCAATCTCTTGTGGTGTCTATAATAATGATTATTGCTTTAAATCATTTGCTTTCAGGTATAAGGCAACTGATATAGGATAGTAATCTGTTTTACGGTATTGTATTTTTACCAAAATGTAATTCATTTCAGATCACAGGTTCGTCTTCCTCTATTGATATCTACACTCATCACTATACAGACACTGGAGGGGGGTATCATCTACCAAATCAAGTCTACATGTATACATCAAGGCCAAAGAACTGTAGTTATATTCATATATTACTCTTAGAGGGTACTTGCTCAACAGGCTTGTTACCAAGATAGTATCCATGGAATGGAAAGCATTCTGTGAGCTTAAAATAAGACTTTGAAACCAGAGGACAGGAAATGTCAAAAGCCTGTAAATGCCACGATAGACAAGGCTAACAACAAGCAACAGCAGGCGACATTAAGAGCCGGAACGTTCCGTGTGGCGATGACTGCGATGGTTTCCTTTCCCTGCTGCTGAGGATTTTAACAAGCACAACAGCTGAACTGCCTTTGGAGGTAAATGATTTAACACCACAAAGATTAAGCTGTCATAAAGGACTGAAGGTATCTGAAGGTTAATGACACAAGAATTTAGGCCTAATGATGTTCATCAAAAAGTTCAACAAACATGAAGCGAAAAAGAGCTAACCTCTTTGGTGGCAGGGATGTTGCTGTTGTTTTTGTCCAACAGATAAAACCAAAGAATGTTGGAATAAGAGGGGAACTTCCAGGTAGACCAGGGGTTGACAAAGCGACCACGTTTGTCCCTCCTGGACTTTGTGACGTCCTCCTCCAGCCGATAGTCCAGGCGGAAACATTTGCGCGAGGACTGCGACGAGCTACTCGTCCTGGGGTCCTTGGTACATTCACCCTTGTCTGCCCCCAAACCGTCCTCCTGCAAAGGGCTCTGCTCCCCCTTGTCCTTCACCTCCATGACATCAGCGGATGCTCTGAAGGAAGAAAGAGGAGTTCCAGAATTATGTTTGTCCGATGGTTAACTCCTTAACCACCACTTGTCGTGAGTGTGCACCACTTGCCCCACAATTTGTGCTAAATATATCTTTATTTTTTTATTAAAAGCTTCCCTAAATTTTATGAATAGAACAAATAGTCTGCAGTCAGTAGAATGCAGCACAAGCTGACAATAATGAACCAGAAAGACTGGAATACAGCTTCCCCCTTTAAAAGCAAGGTAACAGATAGACAAATGCATAATATTCATATAGTAGATCAACATTTATACTGCAAAACATGCAAATAGAAAACATTTAAAATATCTTTTAACGTTCTGTGAATTCCATATACAAATTATCAGCCAACACCCACAACAGTATCATCTTTAATTTGATTTTTGCTAAAATTATTCTAACATGTTTACTAAGCTTTTAGTGTACAATAAGCCAAGTTGTGAACAGAATTAAGAGCCAGCATCACTTGTACAATACCTGCAGGAATTACACATAAGTAACCAGGCAGTCCTGTGCATGAAGGGAATAAGACAACTGTTTGTCTCTATAGTGAGGTTAATAGCAACACCAGTAGTATTTCCATTTAATCAGTTACTGAGTGGGACCTACAAATTTATCAGGCAGATGATTCACTGTGTATACATCTTTGTCATAATGACAACACCTCCACACACTAATCACAAAATGCAGCAGCCCACATGCATTTTTATAGAGATCAGTAATAACAGGATTTGCTGAAAAATCCATCAGAAGAACTCCTGTTGAGTAGCATGTGAGTAGCATGTGAGCAGCACATGGGCAGGGCCTTGTCTGTCTCCGTTGCAGAAATGTCAGTGAGGTCAGAATATCTTGCACTACTTAGTCCCCTAAAAAGCCACTGAATGAAGCTGGTAGTCAGGAATAACGCCACTACAATGCTTATAATCTTAATATCCCTCTTCAAAAAATCCTGAACTTTCAATATTTACCAAGTGATCAATTAAACCTATAGTAGGTCACGATCTAGCATACCTGTATAAAAATAGAAGATGTGGCTAAGAAAGTTTATTATGCATTACAAAAGTGCTGTGAAAAAACCCTGAAAACCACGGAAAGTGAACATTTAATTTTGGTAGGGTGTCAGAATAGCAAAAAACCAGACGAGAGAAAACTTATTTATGAGACTTCATATTTACAAATTCTAATTTAGTTTTACCGGCAGATATCCCTAAGAAGTAAACATTTGTTTACATTTGGCCAAATTGCTTCCAACGAGCCCCAAAGCATAACGAACACAATCTCCGTTGTGGTGAATGTATCGCAAAAATGTCAAGCAATATACTCAATATAGTAAAATGACATCTGGGAAAGCATATAATACATAAGGAACTCTTAAATTATTTCACAAAAAGAATTCGAGAAGGGGAATCTCTGAGGTTCAGTGATACAAAGTATCAAAAACAACGGCCACCAGTAATACCTATAATTTCGGAAGTGGGATGGTATTATTATGCAATATTTGCACTAAAACAGAAAAACGTGGCGTTATAAACACTGTGCTTTTGTTATAATAATGAATACGTACTTCAAAATGAATCCACAATTTTAAATCGAAACCGAGACTTCATATCCCTATTTATAACTATACTTCCCGATCTCCTGAATTTGTACAATAACCCACCTTGTTATCGTGTGAAGACAACCGCCCGTTAGCGTTATCCGCAACGCAGACTGAAATCTCAAAAGTTTTTTTTTCCTTTTTATCTTGGATCAGTAACAAAGTACCGAGCTGCTGCCGCCGCCGCCTCCCCATAATGATAACACGTGACGACGCCATAATAGGGCAGTTAATTTAGCGTGAAATTAATTTTAATAAAGTGTTTACCTGGGTTTTAACTGTCCTCAATATTTAACGCTTATGTGTCGGGCACCAGCCCATATGTAACGTTGCTTACGTTGGTAAAGTTAGTTTGCGGTTCGTTTTTCACGTTGCAAACGGCCATAAAAACCTTATATATGCACGAAAAAATACGAATTATGGCTCCTTGT